GCACCTGAATTTAGTAGGGGACTGTGTCTGTTTTCAATACAGTTTCCTTTAAGAAGTCACTATACAGATTTTTTTTTCTTATAGCATGGTTTTAATCTAAATGCATTAGAAGTACACAAAAACTTGAAGGCATAACATCCCTAAGGTGACTAAAAAAGCAGTAGGATTTTACAGGCACTCAGGGCTATTTCTAATGAAGCTTTATAACTTAACAAGATTATTCACAGTTTGAGATTGGACTCAAAGATGTAGACAGCATGAGAGTCATTTTACCCTTTTTTTTTAGTCAATTAGTTTTTTTCAAAAAAGATTTATTTATTTATTCGAAAGTCAGAGTTACACACAGAGGGAAGGAGAGGCAGAGAGAGAGAGGTCTTCCATCCTCTGGTTAACTCCCCAGATGGCTGCAACAGTCAAAGCTGTGCTGGTCCAAAGCCGGGAGCCTCCTCTGGGTCTCCCACACGGGTGCAGGGGCCCAAGGACTTGGGCCATCTTCTGCTGGTTTCCCAGGCCATAGCAGAGAGCTGGATTGGAAGTAGAGCAGCCAAGTCTCAAACTGGCGCCCATATGGGATGCCAGCACTGCAGGTGGTGGCTTTACCCGCTACACCATAGCACCAGCCTCATGTCAATTAATTTTTAATTTTTGTGTCTTTCTGCTTTGCAGCACTCAGAGTGAGTCTTTAATAATCTCATCTATAGGCCGGCGCCGCGGCTCACTAGGCTAATCCTCCGCCTTGCGGCGCCGGCACACCGGGTTCTAGTCCCGGTTGGGGCGCCGGATTCTGTCCCGGTTGCTCCTCTTCCAGGCCAGCTCTCTGCTGTGGCCAGGGAGTGCAGTGGAGGATGGCCCAGGTGCTTGGGCCCTGCACCCCATGGGAGACCAGGAAAAGCACCTGGCTCCTGGCTCCTGCCATCGGATCAGCGCGGTGCGCCGGCCGCAGCGCGCCGGCCGTGGCGGCCATTGGAGGGTGAACCAACGGCAAAAGGAAGACCTTTCTCTCTGTCTCTCTCTCTCTCACTGTCCACTCTGCCTGTCAAAAAAAAAAAAAAAAAAAAGAAATAATCTCATCTGTAGTTCACTGATAACTATTTCTCACATGACTTTTTTTGTGTATCAGACCTTGACTCCTTGTGTTAAATTTTCTGTTGGCATTATCCAGGACAGACTCATAAAAATATCTTCTATTGCTGAAGAAAGCTATGGAATGAAAACTGTTACCCACCATTCTTCTCTCCCAGGCGAAGAAAATAGTTATAGATCATCAAACCTAAGACTCTAAAACAGGGCTTGACAATTTTTGGTTGGAAGAGCCAGAGAGCAAATATTTGAGGATTGGCAGGTCATGTGGCGAAGGACTCAGCTTCACTACGGTAGCAGGAGAGCTGACAGAGGTGATGTGTACAGGAACAAATGCAGCTGTGTTCTGAGAAAACTTTATAAGTGGCAGTTGGAGTTTCTTTATGGAAGTACTTCCAAAAGTTTGTGAAGATGGAATTAAAGGATAAGTTTATTTCGGTGTAAAACTTTTTAAAAGATTTATTTATTTATTTGAAAGAGTTACAGAGAGAGAGAGAGAGAGAGAGAGAGAGAGAGAGATCTTCCATCCACTGATTCACTCCCCAAATGGTGGCGACGGCTGGAGCTGGGCTGATCTGCAGCCAGGAGCAGGGAGCTTCTTCCAGGTCACCCATGTGGGTGGAGGGGCCCAAGCACTTGGTCCATCTTCCACTGCTTTCCCGGGCTCATCAACAGGGAACTGGATCAAAAGTGGAGTAGCTGGGACTTGAACTGGGATCCCATATGGGATGCCGGCACCACAGGTGGCTGCTTTTACAGCACCGGCCCTGTAAATTTTTTTTTAATTTGTGCATAGTTTTTCCCTGATATCCATTTCCCATAAATTTTTCCCCCATAAACTTTTTTTAAGGACCTCTCTTATATGTCATAGTATGCCAACCTCTGCTCTAAAATACTGAGTTGTTGTGTCTACTTGTCTGTCTACTATATTGCTAGATACCTATATGAAAGCATTAGTGAGTTTAATGTGGTTTTAGGATCTCTTTCATACTGTTTGAAACATTTTGGACATCTCTCAGTTCCCACTGTATGTACTTAGTAGTGGAAGAGACCCAGCAGGGGGACCTTTAAGTTAATAAGGACCCAAGTGTTCTTTGAATGAAAAACAAATGAGTAAGGCCTTGCATGCCTTAGTGGAGTTCCCACAATAACCTGTTTGGCTCCAATATGCTTCAAATTGCTTAACTGAAATAACTCAAGTTCGCGTTGCCCAAGGCTTGAAACTCTTGTATGGTAGGGATTCCTTCTCCTTTGTAGAGAAAGAATGAGGTCAGTACTTCTGCTATGGATGAACATAATCCCAATATCTTTCTGTAGAATGAAAATATGTGTGTGTGTGCACATGTGAGTACAGTACCCTCTTATCTGAGGTTTTCCTTTCCAGAGCTGCAGTCACCTGTGGTCAGTTACAGCATTGTATCATCCCTCATCATCAAAAGAAGAGTGAGAAGAGGACCATAAATAGTTTGATACAGAGAGGAAAGAGACTACATGCACAATAAGGTTTATTACAGTATATTATTATAACTGTTCTATTTTATTTTTAGTTACTATTATGCATAATCTATACATTAACTTTATCATAGGTATCCTTGCATAGGAAAATGTATATATATATACCTATATATATATTATATATATTTATCATGGTTTTAGGCATCCACTGAGGATCTTGAAGCATATCTGGATAGAGGGTGTGTGTATGCGTTTGTGTGTGTATGTGAAGAGCAATCAAATGATTATGTTCTGAAAGACAATCTAGGATGACGTCACAGCTAAGTGAAGTTGACCTAGGAGGAGTTACAGAAGTATTTAAAAGAAAATTGAATGGCAGGCATTGTCTTAATGGTAAGGACCTTTGCATACCACATCAGAGTACCTAGGATTGATTGAGTTCCTGCACTCAAGTAGGAGGCTTGGATTAGGTTCATGGCTCCTGGCTTTGACCTGGACCAGCCTGTTTGTTGCAGCCATTTGAGGAGTGAACCAACTGATAGGAATTCCCTCTCCCTGTCAAGCTGTATCTCTTTCTTCCACCCCTTGCCACACACACACACACACACACACAATCCCACTTACTTGTATATATATACATACATATATGTTATATATAGATATATACTTATATATAAATATACCTATACACACACACATATATATATGTGTGTGTATATATATATATATATATATATATATACATTTACTTGTATAATCAAAAGGAGGAAATAATGGTTGAGTAGCAGGCTAAGAATAATCACTCCAATAAAAAGTCATGATCCTTTCATCAGATCCCAGACCCAAACCAGTTTTCAGACTCAGAAAACATTGACTAAAGAAGTGGCAAGTCCTCTTTGAGAGGAAGAATCCTGAAATGCCATACTCAAAATATATTCTTAATTTCTCCCATTTAAAAAAATAGGCAATGAGGAAAGAATACACAAACATTTTAGGGCATTAAGTCTGGATTATCATTGATTCACAGCTCTCTGAAGCATCATGTTAGAGTGAAGGTATGGAGGGTTGGGTAATAAATACTATCCTTGTCAAAGTCTGCTTCTCAGTAGGTCAAGCTGGCTAGTGGATTCTTTCAATGGTCATTTCTCTAATCAGGATGGACATCCTTGGCTGTTGGAGTCATCTCCACCTTGAATTCTTCTCATTCTAACCAAATGAGAGGAAAGTAGAAGTTCATGAAAATTGTACCCCTGCCCTCTCTCATCCCCTACACTCTTACCTCCCATCTATCCCTGACTAAGATGGTGAATCCAAAAATACTACGTGTGGTGGTGGAGTGGGGGAATGGCAGAAAATAGTACTACTCTGAAGGGTCTTAGGAATTCAAGGGCTGGAGATGCAGATAAGATCTGTGCTGTCTAGACATGTGGCACAAGAGTCAGGTGAATGAAAAAGTGGCTGGCATACTGAGGCCTTAAGAAGGTACATGCAATATAGGGTATGGGAATTAAAGTTGGTGATGAATGGGGAATTTTCAATGTTGGAAATATTTTAGGGGTTCTGTTCAGTCAAAATCATTGTATAGATTGGATATAGTTTGTTTCCCCAAAGTACATGTGCTGAAAGCTTGGTCCCTAATGAAACATTATTGAGGTGGTAGGATATTTAAGAGGTGGGGCTTAGTAATAGGTAATTAAGTCATGGGAAACTGGCCTTAGAAGGTTTTAATGTTGGTCTTACTGAATGGGTTTGGGTGGCTTTTTTAAAAGATTTATTTTAAAAAAATTTTTTTATTTAAGATATAAAACTGGATTAGTTCCTAGGAGAGAATGAACTATAAATGAGGAAGTCTGTCCCCTCTCCCTCCACCTCTTGCTTCCTTGCTCATAGATGTGTCCTTTTTGTACACAGCAGGGTCCCTGTCCACTGTGCCATGTTGTGACACAGCCAGGGGACATCATTCTACAACAGTGTCATGCAGTATGAGCCTTCCTGCTCCAGAATTGTGAGCCAAATAAACTTTAAACAGTGCCCAGACTCATGAATACAAAGGGGAATGAGACAGTATGTGAGGACGTCAACTTGCTGCATTTTGCCTCTTCTACTACGATACTTGTGGGACCTGTGATGGCTACATAGTGCACCTGTAGAAGCATGCTTCAGCCCATCCACTGGATAACATGAAAGGCTTCCTGTTTTGATTGGGCCTGGAGCAGGAAGGGAATCTACAGAAAGTTAGGGCTACCATATAACTCCCTGGACCATGTGCCTGACAGATTCTGTGATGTTGGAGGTGCTAGCTGTAAAAGTGCAGTGTGGCGTACAAACATGAAGATCCAGTGGGAGCTACACAACATAGGCTTCTGGGGTTTTGCAGCAGGGCTGTGACCTCTACAACAGAGACTTATACACCTTTTCAGAAGGAGTCCCTGGTGTGTTACCAGGGCCCATCAGGCACGGAATTCTTGACAGAGGGATGCCAAGTAACAATGCATTCAGAACTGTTCATTATGAGTCGAGTTCCGTTAGACCTACAGAGTCACAGACCCCACCAGACCCAGAAGCAGTCCATCCACCATAAGATCGAAACTGTGTGTCTCGGATCAAGCCTGAGCAGGCTGGCAATCAGAAGGTAACTACGCGAGGAGGTATCCCAGATCCCCACATAACCCAGTGTGGCTGTACCAGCACCCCTCCCTCAGATCATGCCCAGGACTCTATGAGGATGCCAATTGTCCAGCTGAAGGGGGAGAGAAAGCCTGAGCATGTTTTATGGGTTGGTAAGCTCAGTGTGGGGACCAGCTGAAAATGGGCAGTGGTTTTACTACACGTGTGGTGGGGGTGGACTTGAGATATTGGTATGAAAACGTAATCTGAAGGGACAAAGCTCAGAGTGGTGCACTTGCTGCCATTCATTGTTGAGGGAGCAGTGGCTTGGGACAGGATTATAAGTACGCTTGTGAGTAGAGGTGAGTAGTCTGATGGGCTGGCCAGGGCTCAGAAGGGGAAGAACTGAAAAGTTGCAGCCAAGGACATTCAGCTTAGGTGAGAGTGGAAGGGTTTATGTGAGTGAGCATCACGTGAGAAGAGTTTTTGGCTCATGTATTAATGGAAATCAGGAAGCATCCATCACCAAAGAGGCACTGAACAACCAAGTAGACAAAATTACCGGGCGGTAGTTGATGTTAGGATGTTAGCCAGTCTTTGATCTGACTCAATAGATGATGTGTATGCAGAGGAGCCACAGTGGTAGAGATAGAAGCCATACGTGCTCTCTAACCTACCAGCAACAGAGATCAATGAACACTGCTTCCAATGGGGGTATCTTCTCCACAGTGGTGATTTCTGATCAATGATTTTCCTGAGTGGAGAATCAAAGTGCATCCAGCAAAGACAACACATGTAACGTTTTCTTGAAAAATCCTGGGATCAAGGACCTCCTGTATTTAATGTTAGTACCTTCGGTAGTGGATCATTTCCTGACTTCAGTATCTTGTTTATGAAATTGACAATTATACATCTTCATGTGGAAAATACTTAAATTATACATCTTAATGTGGAAAATACCATCAGGCTAACCTACCTAACTCAGGAAAGGACAATCAGTGAAAAAACTATGGTATTTTTACTGACTATAATTGGGACATTTTAAACAAAGTATGCGAAATTGTTTAGTCTCTCATTAGCTGTAAATACAGTTCTGTAAAGTTGGTTGAATTGTTGTCAGTAAGACCGTTAGCCTGAGTAGGTGCCTCTGCTGATATTGAAACTTAGAAATTTAACATTTTAATGGGAATTATACAGCATTTTAAGTTAATTTTTAAGAATTTCAGGGCAATTCAGTTTTTCTTAGTAACTCTATGTGAACATGTGGACATCAAGCACTGCCTAGAATTAACAATGATGTTCTTGGGAGTGATGGCATATATAAGAACATGTTTGTCCTTTATCTTAACATTTGAAATCTCCTCTTCCTAGTTGATGGATTTGCATTACTTCCTTGTTCCTTGTCCTGATTTCTTACAGATTTCAGTGGGCATCAGACTGTTACCATCAAGGTTAAAAGGAACAAAAACTAACAGTAATTAAGGAAGATTTACTAAGAAGATACTCGGTATGCTTATGGCAATGATGATTCTCTAAGATTTTGGGAGATTGAGCTAACACCTGGAACAATAATGAGACTGTGTGTGTGTGTGCGTGTGTGTACCTGGGTGTGTGACAAGATCTCTCCCTGGCTTTTATTTCTCTGTTCCAGTCTTTTGTTCAGTATGTACATGGATGAAAATGATTGTCCTGGACCCCAACTAACCTTTTTACTTCAAATGTCAAATAACATCTATGAAGATTATCTGGTTTTTAGTTCAAATTTTCAGGTGTGAGAATGTGAGCTAACTCTTGTTCAGAGAACATGAGAGACTAGGTATCTAGGAATCCGATGGCACAAACACGGCTGTACAGGTCCACCCTTATATGTGTGTGGCGAATCCGAAGGAAGGGAAGTGACATCTAGTTTTGATCCTAAATTGGTGCTGGAAACTTGTAAGTAGTCCTGCTAAAAACTCTGCCGTGTTTCTATCTTCATCTCTATTCATTTACATTTAAAAGAGGTTTTCTGCTTTAGATGATATTCATGGAAAATCACAAGGCTTAGGATTTCTGTGTTTTCTTATTCCTCCTGACTTTTCTTATTGGACTCTCTACCCAGAACTATATTAAAACCATCCCAATATTCTTTCAGGGAACACCAACACGCACATGTACATGAAGCTCTTTTCCTTTGGGAACAACTCAACTCAGACAGAATGGTGGACCAGCTCCAAGGAACGTGGAAGTCCGTTTCTTGTGAAAATTTTGAAGAATATATGAAAGAACTAGGTGAGCCATATTTACCTAAATATTATATTGTTAAAGAAAAAAGCAAGGGGTTTTGATAGCACAGCACCTGCTCTGTGTGAATTAGGATTGAATCTTGGATTCTTCAATTTTTTACAAAGAAAAAACAATGATTCAGCACCAAGAAGCAGTTCAGTAGGTTGAAATTTATATACCCCTCATGTAATTTATCATGAATTCACATATACAAAATGTGGATATACTATTTACAAAATAAAAAATGATTTTTTTCAAAATGACACAATCACTTTTAGTGATTATTTTTACTGAATTTACTCTAATCTTTAGCAAATCTTCAGAACTGATCATATTTTCCAGCTTTTTGTGGCTGTTGGCATACCATGGCAAATAGCCACAACACTTCAATCTTTGCTCCTGGTTTCAAACTGCTGTCTCCTTCTTTAGTCCCTCTTACAAGGAAAACTTGTGATTCGTTTAATGATCTCCCTGTCTCAAGATCCTTAACCATGTCTGCAAAGTGCTCTTTGAACTATAGAGTGACATCTACAGGTTCCAGGGATTAGGGCAGGAATATCTTCGGGATACCACGATCCAGCCTGTTGCATCTTGTAGCCATGTTTCACAATATGAATTCTGTGACACATTATTGTATTTTTCTAATATATATTGTCTTGGAAATTTAGAAAGCCATTTCTTTGTTGTTGTTGTTTTTTTGTTTTTTTGTTTTTGTTTTTGTTTTTTTGTTTTGTTTTGTTTTGTTTTGTTTTGTTTTTTAGGCCAGCATTGTGGCATCATGGGGAAAGCTGCTGCCTGTAACGCCAGTATCCCATGTGGACATCAGTTCCTGTCCTGGCTGCCACTTCTGATCCAGCCCCTTACTAATGTACCTGGGAAAACAGTGGAAGATAGCCCAAGTGCTTGGGCCCCTGCACACTCACATAAGAGACCCAGAAAAAATTCCTGGCTCCTGGCTTCAGCCTGACCCAGCCTGGCCATTGTGGCCATTTGGGGAGGGTACTGGTGGATGGACAATTTCTCTCTCTGTCTCTCCCTCTGTCAAATTTTTGAAAAGCAGAATGTCAGAGAGAGACAGAGAGAGAGAGATCGTCCTTCCACTGCTCTGCTCCCCAAATGACCACAGTGGCTGGCCTGGACCAAGCTAAAGCAAGGAGTCTAGAATGTCACCCATGTTTCCTACACTGGTAGGGGTACAAGTACTTGGATTATCTTCTCTGCTTTCCCAGGAAGATTAGCGGAGAGCTGGATCAGAAACAGAGCAGCTAGGATGTGGATTGGTGCTCATATGGGATGCCAGCATCACACGTGGCATCTTAACCGGCTGTCCCACAAGCCACATGTGCAAAGGTATACACTGCAGAATTATTGCAATAAGATTGAAAACAGACTAATTGTTCATCAATGAGGAGCAGATAAAATAAATTTTAGTTTATACATATGTGGAGTTAAATACATATCTATGTGTATGGACTGACATGGAAGATATACAGATAAGACATACAGGTAAGAGGCAAACGCAAGTTGAATTACAACAGATATAATATTTATATTTTACAAAGCTTACATATAGTGGTGATGGTTGCACAACATTTTGATATATTTAATGCTACTGAATTGTTCACTTAAAATGATTAAAATGCTAAGTTTACATTACGTATATGTTACCACAATAAAAAATTACATAAATAGAGAAAACAAATCTTGAAAGTCTGTATATATAAAGATGTAAGGGAAGACATAAAGATCTGGAAGAACCCATACCAAAGAATTTTGTTTGTATGTGAATGGGTATATTTTTAAAATGGGGAGGTGGTTCATAGCTTTAATTAGATTTTCAAAGGAGTCTATGAATCAGCAAGATGAATATCTATTTAACTAGAGAAACAGGACAATCACTAAAGAAACAAAACTAGGGACTGATGCTTTTCTGCAATAAGTAATCTATGTTGAGATGTACTGGTGGAGCTCTAGCTTCAGATATTTGAATTCATGTAGCATTCAATCTAGTGAACTCACAAACCTAGTTAGCAAAGAATTATACAGATAATGTGAGTTCCTAGAGCCCCAACAGACTTAACTCTATTTGCTTTTATCTGGTTTCCAGGAATTGGAAAAGCCAGCAGAAAACTGGGCTCTCTGGCCAAACCCACTGTGACCATCAGCACAAATGGAGATGTGATCACTATAAAAACCAAAAGCATCTTTAAAAACAACAAGATCTCTTTTAAACTGGGAGAAGAGTTTGAAGAAACTACCCCAGGTGGCCGTAAAACCAAGGTAAAGTCTCTTAACTTTCAGGTAAAATAAGAATATTAATTAGGAATCATCCAAGTAAGTATGCAATTCTGTTTGCAACATGTCTAAAGTTTTAATTAGATAAACTTTTGCCTAAAACCTAGTTCTAGGAGTAGGTGTTTGTCACAGGAGTTAAGTCATTCAATCACTTTAAGTGGCACTCTGACCTCAGAAACAGCCCTTGAGGCATTCTGGTCTGACTGAAAAGCTCATGAGGACATTTTAGGCATGGAAAGCCAAGACACTATGGCAAAAATTATCCTACATGAAGGACTTCTGTGGGTGAGACCCCAGTGGAAAGAAATGGTCATCAAAGAAGGATGTACTTTTCTCTGACGGGAATAAAGAACTTCTACTTTGCTTATGGCCTTGTCCAAATACTGAAGGAGTCTGTGGATTCAAAAGGCTTCCATAGCCCAGGCAGCTCATGTCAAGAGCCTTGGGTGATCACTGGTATGATACATGAGAGTGTTAATTGTTAAAGTAACAACAGGAGTCACTGTGCACTAACTTTCCATGCAGGAGTCCTCAAAGAGTTGGATTATGAGAGTTAATAGTAAAACTCATTTTCAAAGATTTAATTTCATTCTAGTGTATTGATTGGAGGATAATCTTATGTATCATAAGCTATAGTTATGTCTAAGTGCTTGCAAAATATGTATCATTCTTGTGTTCTTCAAAGATAATTAAGTTTCTAAAAAAAGAATGTTTAAAAAAAAAAGTATATGTTGATGTACAATTTAATACTTTATCCCTTTTAGTATTTTTTCTTGTTCCAGTTAATACTATTGGTTGAACTCTGTAATCAACACACATTTATTCTTAGGTGTTGAAATTTAACTGAAAAGTGATCCCTGTTAAATATAAGAGTGGGAATAAGAGAGGGAGGAGATGTACAATTTGGGACATGCTCAATCGGACTTGCCCCAAATGGTGGAGTTAGAAATGTGCCAGGGGATTCCAATACAATCTCATCAAGATTGCATGTACCAATGCCATCTCACTAGTCCCAGTGATCAATTTCAATTCACAATTGATCACACTGATAGGTCTAAGAGTCAAAGGGGTCACACAAACAAGACTAGTGTCTGTGAATACTAACTGATAGAATAAAAAGGGAGCGAACAATCCAACATGGGAAGTGGGATACACAGCAGACCAATAGAATGGCAGATGTTCTAAACAGCACTCTGGCCTCAGAATCAGCCCTTCAGGCACTTGGATCTGGCTGAAGAGCCCATGAGAGTATTTTAGGCATGGAAAACCAAGACACCCTGGAAAAAAAAAAACAAAAAACAAAAAACAAAAAACAAAAAACAAAAAAAAGGACCTAAATGAAAGGTCTCTGCGAGGGAGATCCCAGTAGAAAGAATGGGGCCATCAAAGAAGGAGGTACCTTTCTCTGAAGGGAGGAGAGAACTTCCACTTTGACTATGATCTTGTCTAAATAAGATCAAAGTCAGTGAACTCAAGAGGCTTCCATAGCCTTGGCAACTCATGACTAGAGCCTAGGGAGATTTCTGACGCCATAAACAAGAGTGTCAAATTGTTAAGTCAACAACAGGAGTCTACTGTGTACTTACTCCTTATGTGGGATCTCTGTCCTTAATGTGTTGTCCAATGTGAATTAATGCTATAACTAGTACTCAAACAGTATTTTACACTTTATATTCTGTGTGGGTGCAAACTGATGAAATATTTACTTAACATATACTAAATCGATCTTCTGTATATAAAGGTAATTGAAAATGAATCTTGATGTGAATGGAATGGGAGAGGGAGCGGGAGATGGGAGGGGTGCGGGTGGGAGGGAAGTTATGAGGGGGAAAAAGCCATTGTAATTCATAAACTGTACTTTGGAAAATTATATTTACCAAATAAAAGTTTTTTAAAAAAAGAAGAAAAATGTAGAAAAAAGTATATAAATTAAAACTCAAAAGGTTCACTTTTATTGTATTCAAAAGTATGTTTTTCCTTATTGTAAAACTAATTTTTCTGGTGCTCTATTGCACAGTAGGGTAACAATAGTTAAAAATAATATAATGCATATTTCCAAATAGCTAGAAGAAAGACTTTTGAATGTTCACACTACAAAGAAATCTTGAGTATATGAAGTGATTGATGCTAATTATCCTAATTTGATCATTAAAATGTATGTATGTTCTGAAATATTGCATTGTACCCCATAAACATGTACAATTATTGTGAATCAATAAAAACAAATAATCTAATAAAAAAAGAAGGAAGTCACTGTTTGGGACAACAGTATACTATATTGAAAGGCCTGGGTTTGAGTCCCAAATCTGCTTTCATCCCAGCTTCCTATTAATGAAGATATTAGGAGGCAGCTGGGATGGTCCAAATATTTGGATCCCTGATACCCAAGCAGGAGATTTGGATTGCATTCTAGGCTACTGCCTTCAGCCTGGCCCAGCCATGGCTATTGTAGACATTTGGGGAGTGAACCAGCAGATGGAAGGTCTCTGTCTTTTGTGTAAAATGAAAATAAATGAATAAAAATTTAAAGAACAAAACCTAGGTCAAAAAGGATGTCAGACAGTAATACACATATAACCCTCCTGAGATGTTTCTGGAAAAAGCCGACTGATCAGTCCCATTTTCAGGGGCTCTCATGTCTGGAGTGGGTGCCTGAACAATCACACTTGATCATATAAGGATTCTGATGCAGATACTTAGCAGACCACACTTGGGAAACATTTTCCCAGCTTAGCATCTAGTCGTCTTAGACAAAAGTTCTCTCCTTCCATTTTGCTGTAGTTTCCCACACATAAATCACAATAAAATTTGTGCTGGCTGGTATAGACCAGGTTATGTGGAATCATAGGCTCTCAATGGGGTCACACACATTAGGGATTTACTTCAAACTCGTAGTACAGATGCAGAGTTGGAGTGTGATTGATGAAAAGGTGAGTGTAGGGTGGGGGATAAGGATCTCTTAGTCTTTCAGAAACCCAGGACAAAGGATTTCCTACCACCTTGCATCTGCACCATCTGAAACTTACAGTCTCCAGAGCCCACGAGACAGAGACACAGGGCATTTTATTGCCTTACTCTTAAATAACACTCTTAGTCTTTATTCATATCTCATCAGGGTACATCATTTACTTATAATACAAAATTTGTGTATATTTTATTTATTGCCTGTATTCCCACCAGAATGTAAGCACTTCAAAGACAGGATTTCTTGTCTGTTTCCCAGATCCTAGTCTCCTAGTCCTCAGTACATAATTGTTGCTTAATAGTTATTTGTTTCTCAAATGAATAGACTCAATAGAGCATTGTTAAACTACACAGAGGGTGATATCCCAATGGAAGAAACTATTATACTATTTAAATAGATGGTAATTAAATAATAAATATGAGCTTTCAAATTCTTTTATGTTAATAAATGGAAGAATTTTGACCAAAAATGCTTAATAAAGATGTCTCTGCTAAACTTAAACAAAAATCAGATTAAAATGCTGGAAAATATTGTTGTAGTTAAGAAGAGGAAACAAAACTTCCTTTTTTTAAAAAAATAAACTCTTACAATGAGAGTTTGAATTTACTTCACATATTTCTTTTTAAGATTTATTTATTTATTTGAAAGGCAGACTTACAGAGAGGCAGAGGCGCAGAGAGAAAGAGAGAGAGAGAGAGATATCTTCCATCCACTAGCTCACACCCCAGGTGGCCGCAATGGCTGGAGCTGGGCCCATCTGAAACCAGGAGCCAGGAGCTTCTTCCAGGTCTCCCATGCAGGTGCAGTGCCCCAAGGACTTGGGCCATCTTCTACTGCTTTCCCAAGCTATAGTAGGGAACTGGATCAGAAGTGGAGCATCCAGAACTTGAACTGGTGCCCATATGTGATGCTGGCGCTGCAGACCAGGGCCTTAACCCATTGTGCCACAGCTCCGGCCCCCACATATATTTTTGAACCTGAAACTGTAACACCTTGTTCAATCATTAAAAGACAAGAAAACTACACCTACTTTTTAAGATAACATTTATTATATTTTTATGCTTGTTAAACTGAAATTTTGCCATTAAAATCAGCTAATGAATTTATTGTTGACAAAGTTTTACCATAAATAGGATTGTAAGCACCCTCCTAAAGCCACCAGAGAGGATTGCAACAGTTGAAAAAAATTAGGCACCTAAGAACTTTTCATGTTCAAGTGTGACGATCTGATCTGAATTTGGTTGTCTGTTTTTCAGAGTACAGTAACCTTGGATAATGATGCCATGATCCACACTCAGGACTGGGGAGACAAGGAAACCACCATCAGGAGAAAGTTGGTGGATGGGAAAATGGTGGTGGTGAGTGAGCTATCACTATTTTCTAACCTTCTGCAAGGCTTAGTTTATGAAAGCATCCAACTTGTTCCAAAACAGTGAAGATGAATGCCACTTTCCTGTTTGTCTTCTCTGATAAGAACTGAGGAAAAATACTGGCAGATAAATGTAAAATCATGGCTATAATGAAATGTACATGGATGGACGAACTGAAAAGCCAAAGAGTGCACAACTTGTGTAGCCCAGTTCTTTGGCCCCTGGGAATACCAAGGCAAGGATGTATTTGTGCACTAAAGATTTCAGCAGGGATTGGGGGTTGTATGCCTCTCAGGAAGGTTTTCCAGTCACCTTTCCCACTTCTACAGAGGGGAGGAAAGTGTGTCAGTGATTCTCCTGCTCCCAAACTCCATCTGCACCAAGATGAGTAAAAAGGTGATTTAAGTCATAAGGAACACTAAGGGAATATGTAAGATTGTGTCAAGGTAAAAAAAAAAAAAAGAGAGAGAAAAGAAAACCTATTCTCATTTCTTAATATGGGGATTTTTTTTCCTTTCTACAATGAAGAGTGCATTTTATTCTTTATAAAGTCAAAAGAGGAGAAGACTAAGCATGATTGACTTTATTGCTTCTTATAATGACATTGGTCAATAAGCATGCAAGTAAACAGTTCAATAAATAGCTGGTAGATAAATGGTTCATTAACAAGAACACTGGACTAGAAATTCAAGCATGTGAGTTTTCATCTCTGCCGTTTACTCTGTGTGACTTTGAGCAAGCTATTTATTCTCTACAAGATTTAAATTTCTCGCCTTCACGATGTGGATAATGACCCTGAGAATCTAATGTATTAATAAATTTCTCAAAAAATGTAGACAATATGTTCATGGAAGGTTTCCTGAGAAAATAAGATGACATGCTCTGAAAATAATAAAATACTACATCAATGTAAGTTAGTATTATTATCTGAAAAATGTAGAGTATGTAAGACAGTAAAAATGCCTCAACATAGATATGCCTTTGCTTTTTTCATACAAATATTTTTACATTATACATACATCTATTTATGTACATGGTATTTTTAAAAGTTCATGGTAAATAGAACAAAAGTTTATTTGGAACAAACAAAATTTTGAAATCCATGAATAGTTTTTTCATGATAAGCATTTTCCATGAACTTTTGTATGCATGGACTTCAAAAACTTTTTTGCACCACAATAAATTTATCTTGAAATTCAACTGTCTATTTTGAAGTACTCTTGTATGTGGCAAATCATATCTATTTATCATTCTATATTCTTTATTTGATTTTCCATATATATATATATATATATATATATATATTGCAAACCAGCTAACAAATAGGTCCAATTTATAGACTACATAGATCTATTTTCAAGACTTTCAATAAATGGATGAATGGATAATAGTTTGCATCTTTCTAAATGACAATTTTGTCAATAATACCCAAACATCTCATCCTTGTTTTGTCTCCTAGGAAAGTGCTGTGAACAATGTCATCTGTACACGGACATATGAGAGAGTGTAGACAAACTCTCAAGGTCGTAAGCACTTCCAAACTGTGATCCAAACTGCTGAGGTTGTTGAAATAAAACTCCGAACTGAAACACAACTGTTATAGGAGAGAACCTTTCTTTGCTCAAGCATCAACAATTTTGTTGCCCTGTGAATTATGTGGGCATCATATAAGACCTTGGCATTGGTAGTGATGAAAAACTAGGGTCATATAACATGTTTAGTATAGGCCTGGGATAATATATTCACAGAAGCATTTCATGTCGATTTTACTCTCATTTGGGATATATGTCCATCCTTAAATTCAATGTGATCTTCTCTATACTGAGAAAAAAACTAATATTTGAAGAAACTAGTTAGGACATGTTTCTCATGAGTAACACCTCAGTTATATATGAATTGATAAGAAACATGTTTAAAATTAAGACAGTAATTAACACTCAACTATAATATCAAACTGTTGTTACAGAGAACACTATGAGCTCCACCATCATTGCTGAAAGCCATCACAAAGAACATCTTGTTCTTTTTGCACCAAACCTCGCACAGTATTAGGCTTAGTTTCCCATTGCACTTGTGGTCTCACTGTTTATTTGCCTAAATTGATGGAGAGGGTCCTGATGTTCTGAGATGTTCTGATACAGGTGAGAGAAGTGTCTTCTTATCTTTCAGTATGTTGAAGGGACAAAGAAGATCATGGAAGGCATAGGAAGACGACTGTCTCCTGAGCTACCTGGACTGGACAGCGAGAGAATTCCAGGCAGAGGATGGAACTATTTTCCTGAGACCCAGTGCGTGGTTGTGGACATGCACAGCTCTTTTGTAGGCACAGATGACAGCTCATTGCGCAGAGACAGGAGAGAAGCAGTTTACCATTGGAATGGAGCCCAGCACTGCCCTGACATCAGGGTCAGAGGCTGTGGGAGCTTCAGGAAACAGTGCTGTTGGCTTTGGAATGAGAATGTCTTGCCTGTTGTGGTAATGGAGATACTTTTTTTTTTGACAGGCAGAGTGGACAGTGAGAGAGAGAGACAGGGAGAAAGGTCTTCCTTTACTGTTGGTTCACCCTCCAATGGCCGCTGCGATCAGCACACCCCGCTGATCCGAAGCCAGGAGCCAGGTGCTTCTCCTGGTTTCCCATGTGGGTGCAGGGCCCAAGCACTTGGGCCATTCTCCACTGCACTCCCGGGCCACAGCAGAGAGCTGGCCTGGAAGAGGGGCAACCAGGACAGAATCCAGCGCCCCGACCGGGACTAGAACCCTGTGCCGGTGCCGCAAGGCTGAGGATTAGCCTATTGAGCCATGGCACCGGCCATGGAGATACTCTTGTAGGTGGTGGGAAATAGAGTGGAAAGCCTTGTGATAAAAGAATAATTATCAGATACCAGGAGAGCATTCTGATCAATCACTTCCTGATAATTCACAGGACACTTGGTGAGCAGAGGCCAGGAGTAAGGTGAGCTTTTCAAGGGCTGGAGCTTTGAGTGGACAACCATGAGCAAGTACCTGCCATTTAGATGTTGATGTACTGTGATTTTATATCTTTATAATCCAGTGAAGTCTAGACATTTGGGACCTCAAAACACACACACTTTGACTACAACCTTGTCTAAATATGATCAGAGTCGGTGAACTCAAAAGGCTTCCATAGCCTTAGCAACTCATGACAAGAGCCTAGGGTGATTACTGATGCCATAAACAGGAGTGTCAATTTGTTAAGTCAACAACAGGAGTCACTGTGCACTTACTCCTCATGTAGGATCTTTGTCCTTAATGTGCTGTACATTGAGATTTAATGCTATAACTAGTACTCAAACAGTATTTTTCACTTTATGTTTCTGTGTGGGAGCAAACTGTTGAAATCTTTACTTAATGTATGCTAAACTGATCTTCTGTATATAAAGAGAATCGAAACTGAATCTTGATGTGAATGGAAGGGGAGAGGGAGTAGGAAAGGGGAGGGTTGCGGGTGGGAGGGACGTTATGGGGGGAAGCCATTGTAATCCATATTCTGTACTTTGGAAATTTATATTCATTAAATAAAAGTTAAAAAAAAAACCACACACACAGCTGCAACAGAAGATTTTCAGGAGAGATAAGCAGCACACTTAACTTTTTCCTTCACCCAGCTGGGAATCATTAAAATAAAGCATTCACTGTGGCTAATGCAAGTGTATGTTCCTCAGATATGAGCAGGCCACTGGTCTAAATCAAATTGGATGAGACACACCACTGCTCCAAGGTGCTTTTGCTGTTCAGGATTTGCTGCATATCCACCACGTATGACATATTGCTTGACAGAAGAACTAAATCATTCTCAATTCGGTAGAGAAGTGACGTGTTAGAGGGGCATCACCTGGGAATGTTATTCTTGGGGAGTTTATGAACAATAGACTGCAAAACAGATGTTTTCACACAGAGAGGAAGATCTAGCGCCACTTTGTTGCTGAATAATGACCTTGTCCAGATGGAAAACAACTAGCAGCAGGGTGGCAGATGCTTCAACAGTGAGGACCACAGTCTGGGTGGGAGAAACATGGAGTATCTCCCACCCAGCCCTTCCCCTGACGTCTGTTCTTGAGAGTTTGTCCATCAGAGCTGCAGCTTTGGTGCAGGTTGCATCAACTGAGTTCAAGTCAGTAATCATTACCCAGGGTATTTCAGGATTGTGGACTTTTTCCTAGTGAGGCATATCCCATGCTTCCTCAGCTGGGAAAAGCTAGGAGTTCCTAAAAAATTAAAAATTCATATTCTTTGATTCAGATTTGGCCAAAATAGAAATCAGCAAGCCACTGACTAAAGAAAGGGAGGATATTCAGGTTTATTTATCAGAGGAGATAATGTTGAGTATTTCCTAACTAGGAATAAGTCTGAAAGAATAATGTTGCATTTGAAAAATTCAATTGACAGTAATCTGAGATGTAAAATAACAATAGTGGGAACAGATTGTGTGCTTTTTGAGTATTCATTAAGTGTCTATTTTGCACTTTCTTAGCATAATTTCATTTTCTCTGTGAGATATTTGTAAAGGCATAAACCAAGACTCAGAGAATTAAATATTTTGCCTACAATTGCTCAACTTGATCAATGCTAGTTAAAAACTTGGTATCCTAAGTCTATATTCCTTAGTCATGATGCCAGAATTATTCTCTAGAAATAGTTATTAGAGTTTATTTTAGAGTTTTTCTATGTAATAATATGTATGATAAATACACTGAGGTTGGCCTTGAGGCTCAGTGAGTTAAACCACCACTTGCAACAGTTGCATGCATATTGGAGTGCCAGTTGAGTCCCAGCTGTTCCTCTTCAGATCCAGCTACCTGCTAATGCTCCTGGAAAAGCGGAGGAAATTGGCTCAAATGCTTGGGGCCTTGCCATCTATGTGGGAGACCAGTAGGGAGTTCCTGGCTCCTGACTTCATCCAGGCCCAGATCTGGCTGCTGCAGCCATTTCGGGAGAGAACCAGTGGACGGAAGATTCTCTCTCTCTCTCCCCTTCTCCCTGTCTTTCTCTTTCTTCCCCCCATCTCTATTGTTCTGCCCTTCAAATAAATAGCAATAATAATACTACATAGTTAAAGCCATATTCTAAATTTGTAATGCCGGAGAAAATCTGTCTTTCCTGAACTCTCAAGTCTTAATCTCATCAGAAAGATTCTTTTGAAATTGAAGATTTAACAGGTAGAAAACAATCAAACCATCACCTGTGGGAGACAGCTTTTCCAGGAAATTGCTGCTCAATACACTACACAAAGTGAATAAAATCTAATGATGTGAGACGAGAAAAGTTGGACAAAGAGAAACAGAAAATCTAGTAAGTTTTGGGCTAGCCTTTGTAGATGGGAATTACATTTAAGTTCGGGATGGTGTTATGTTATAAATTTGGGAAACTTCCATATTGACAGCATAGGAATGTCATGTAAATTCACTTGTAGTATGAGGCAGGCCTCTGAAGATCATAGAATTAGAATTCCTCGTTTAACAGACTAGAGACCTGGGGTACCCTAGGGAAGGAAGGCAACCAGATCTTGCTTGCAGCTGTCCTAGTTCTGGCTATCCATCTATGCCTATATATCTATGCTGTAGAGATTTATTCTTAGCAAATGCTTGTAAGCCAGGGGCTGGTGTGTGGCATGGTGAGTAAAGCTGCCACTTGTGATGCTGGCATTACACCTGACTGCTGTGTTGAGTCCCGGCTGCTCCATTTCTGATCCAGCTCCCTGCTAATGGCCTGGGGAAAGCAGCAGAAGATGGCCCAAGTGTTTGGGCCCCTGCCACTCACATGAGAAACCCAGATGAAGCTTCTGGCTCCTGGTTTTGACCTAGCCCAGAGCTGGCCATTGCAACCATCTAGGGAGTGAATCAGTGGATAGACAATCTCTCTGTTTGTTCCTCTCTCTGTCTTTCTGAAACTCTGACTTTAAATAAATAAATAATCTTTTAAAAAATGCTTATAAACCATACCAAATCCATATGAACAAAATCGAAGGAAAAATGAAGTCATGATTCTAGAAAACTTTGGCAAGAATTGTTAAGAATTGGTATTTCAGGGGCCGGCGTTGTGGCGCAGTGGGTTAACACCCTGGCCTGAAGCGCCGGCATCCCATATGGGCGCCGGTTCGAGATCCGGCTGCTCCGCTTCCTGTCCAGCTCTCTGCCGTGGCCTGGTAAAGCAATAGAAGATGGCCCAAGTCCTTGGGACCCTGCACCCGCATGGGAGACCCGGAATAAGCTCCTGGCTCCTGGCTTCAGATCAGCACAGCTCCGGCCATTGAGGCCATCTGGGGAGCGAACCATCAGAAGATCTCTCTCTCTCTCTCTCTCTCTCTCTCTCTCTGCCTCTCTTCTCTCTGTATAACTCTGACTTTCAAACAAATAAATAAATCTTTACAAAAGAATTGATATTTCATTAAGTAATACATGGAACCCAGGCCAGCACCAAGCACACGCATGATGCTCCTGCTGATAGACTCATGTAAGCCTCACAGCAGCCAAAGAACCACGTCCTCTTGAGCACTTTCCTTACAACGTGACTCAGTTTTGGTTACTAGCCAGTTTCATTTCTTGTCAAAGAATATGCAGAGAATATGCAAAGAGA